ATCCCCATGGGAAGCAAGCATGGGTTATGGGGGACCTATTCTGCCATGGACAAAGTTAGCGGTGCAATTGTAACGCATGTGCACAGCATACAGACGTTAAGGGACGTTGGGGGTAGCCTAGTAGTTAAATCGTTCGCTCGTCAAGCCGAAGACCTGGTTTCGATTCCCGACATGGGTACAATGTGAGAAGCCAATTAGTTGTGTCCCCCGCCGTGATGTTGCTTGAATATTGCTAAAGGCGGCGTAAAACAAAACACACTCACTCACTCATACAGACGTTAAGGTCATATGTTAATATTACGGACAGGAAAGGACACAGTTTGCCGCCTTGATCACCACGAACAACGAGTCAGACGGCCATGACCTTGGAGATAACAGCCAGCCAGTCATACAATGAAACACAATATAAACATGCATATATGTTTACAGTACAGGTGAGCCTCGTTATTCTGGAAACCCCTGATACCATACGATTTGGGGCACGTACTATATAGTATGTGTGTGGTGGTGGTGGTGTGTGTGTGTGTGTGTGTGTGTGTGTGTGTGTGTGTGTGTGTGTGTGTGTGTGTGTGTGTGTGTGTGTGTGTGTGTGTGTGTGTGTGTGTGTGTGTGTGTTGTAGGGGTGTGTAGGGTTGGGTGGTGGTGGTAATTAAAACAAGCGTTATTCAGTCAACTTTATTTTCCAGTCGATATTTTACCAGTACCGTCCGGGTGAACAAGGCTTCATCTTGAGAGAGTGACATCTTTCACACAGGTACAACATAAATAATACTAAAGACATTAACAATTTGAACATTTTAAACATTTATTTTGTTACTTAAATGAACGGCAAATCTATCGATCTAGCGCAAAATCGTGTCCCGGCAGGATTAGTTGGATATTGGTGTCAAATTCAAGATACCGTTATCACCTACCTGATAAAGGATGAACTCCCCCTTAACAATGGATTAGGACTAGATCTAACGATTGAGAACACACCAGACATTGTTTGTGTGTTTGTGGGTGTTCTGGAGTCATGCCTCGTAGATGGAACAGTAGATTCGCGCTGATCACAAGATAACCTACTTTTCTGTCTTTGAGAAATGGCAGGCGACTGACGATACAATTTCAATACGTATGTAAAAACAGTTAAGGGGCTGTAGAATTTCTGAAAAATCGTACCGTCTTTTGTTTCATTAAATGACATCGAATGAAAACGTCAAGTTCCAACTGGTATTATTACAATTAGCTTCAACTCGAATGTCCATGTCATTGTTGTTTATTTCTCGTTTACGGTTAATTGATAATGTTCAAAGCTATTGGGACATACAGATTAGTTACCAAAGGGACTGATAATTTTGTAACATCCCCAAAATGGCAAACGTCATATACATCACTAACCTCACAACATCACAAACATCACAAACATAATAAACATAACAAACATCATACACATCACTAACATCATAAACGTCACTAACATCATACACATCACTAACATCATAAACGTCACAAACATCACAAACGTCACAAACAGCACTCATCTCACAAAAATCCTTAACCTCACAAGCATCATAAACACCACTTACATCATAAACATCATAAACATCACTAACATCACTAACATCACTAACATTCCTAACATCACATACATCAAAAACATCACTGACCTCACAAGCATCACGTACATCATACACATCACAAACATAAAACATCACAAACGTCACAAACATCACTAACATTCCTAACATCACTAACATTCCTAACATCACATACATCAAAAACATCACTGACCTCACAAGCATCACGTACATCATACACATCACAAACATAAAACATCACAAACGTCACAAACATCACTAACATTCCTAACATCACTAACATTCCTAACATCACTAACATTCCTAACATCACTCACCTCACACACATCACAAACGTCACAAACATCACTAACATCACTAACATCACTAACATCACAAACCTCAAAAACACCACTAACCTCACTAACCTCACAAGCATCACTTACATCATACACATTACAAACATCACAAACGTCACAAACATCACTAACATCAGAAACAGCACTAACATCATAAACATTCCTAACATCACAAACATCACAAGCATCACAAACATCACTAACATCACTAACATCACTAACATCACAAACCTCACACACATCACAAACATCACTAACATCAGAAACAGCACTAACATCATAAACATTCCTAACATCACAAACATCACAAGCATCACAAACATCACTAACATCACTAACATTCCTAACATCACTCACCTCACACACATCACAAACGTCACAAACATCACAAACATCACTAACATCACTAACATCACAAACCTCAAAAACACCACTAACCTCACTAACCTCACTAACCTCACAAGCATCACTTACATCATACACATTACAAACATCACAAACGTCACAAACATCACTAACATCAGAAACAGCACTAACATCATAAACATTCCTAACATCACAAGCATCACAAGCATCACAAACATCACTAACATCACTAACATCACAAACCTCAAAAACACCACTAACGTCACTAACCTCACAAGCATCACTTACATCATACACGTCACAAACATCACAAACATCACAAACGTCACAGACGTCACAAACATCACTAACATTCCTAACATCACTCACATTCCTAACATCACAAACATTCCTTACATCACAAACATCACTCACCTTACAAACATCACAAGCATCACAAACATCACGAACACCACTAACATCACTAACATTCCTAACATCACATACATCAAAAACATCACTAACGTCACAAGCATCACGTACATCATACACATCACAAACATCACAAACGTCACAAACATCACTAACATTCCTAACATCACTAACATTCCTAACATCACTCACCTCACAAACATCACTAACGTCACAAACATCACAAGCATCACAAACATCTCAAACATCAATAACATTACTATCCTCACAAACGTCATAAACATCACTTACCTCACAAACATCGCTTACATCATAAACAGCACTTACCTCACAAACATCACTAACATCACAAACATCACTAACATCACAAACATCATACACATCACAAACATCACAAACATCGCAAACGTCACAAACATCACTAACATCACAAACAACACTAACCTCTGTCACCTCACAAACATCCTTAACCTCACAAGCATCACAAACATCACTCACATCATAAACATCACAAACATCACTTGCATCACTAACATCACTAACATTCCTAACATCACAAGCTTCACACACATTACTAACCTCAGAAGCATCACTAACATTCCTAACATCACTCACCTCACAAACATCACTAACCTCACAAACATCACAAACATCACTGACATCACAAACATCGCTTAAATCATAAACATGACTAACATCATAAACATCACTAACATCACAAACATCACTAACATCACAAAAAATCACTAACCTCACAAGCATCACCCACATCACAAACATCACTTACATCACTATCATCACAAACATCATAAACATCACAAATATCACAAACATCACTGACCTCACAAACATCGATATTTTGAAATACCATATTTGCAACATGTACCTTGTAAATTTAACTACATAATATTGTCGACATGGGTTCAGAGAGCAAAGCTCGAGTTACGTAATACCATACTAATCCTGGAGATGTCCAGAAGCGATAATGGCGGTAATGTGGTAACGTAATGTGGTATGTTGTGTGTACCTCGTGACAGCCGATACCTGGTTCAGAGATGAGTCTCTACTTTGAACCCTGTTATCAAACAGCAGTCATCGGATGACTCCTACAGCTCAACCACGACGAGACGACAGACACATTGCGAGCGAGGACAGGGCAAGTGAACTCAGTTCTTTGCGGAAACTTTCATTTAAACAGTTACTTATATTGTGACAAATTTGAAAATATAATGTCCCTTGTTACACGGCTGCTATTTTCAAGAGGACAGCCTCCTTGGTCTAGCAGAAGAGCGTCCGCTCCGAGAGCGGAAGGTCGGGGGTTCGATCCCCGGCCGCGCCATACTAAAAGACGTCAAAATATGGTACTTGTTGCTACCCTGCCTGGCGCTCGGCACTAAGGGGCTAAAACAAGGACTGGTCGCCTTCGAGTCAGTGAACTGTGTCTAAATGGGGTATTCATGTTAAACTTTTGCATGGTATCTCAATTGGCTAGCACTATAAACTCGGCATTAGTTTTGACTAGTGCAGGCGTCCATACCCACACACACGTGCATGCACGTCGCTATATAAGTTAAATAATCTTGAACGGGACTTAGGCTTGTGTGTTTACTCTGACAGGCTAAGATAGCCAACATGTACGGTGGCCCATAAGGGACATGGAGTCTGTTTTTCAATATTTTGATGTTTCACTTACCTTTATCGTAACCTTTTGCAAATTAACACAATTTGTCATACAAATATGTGATAAATCATGTATAAAAACAACCGAAAACATGGAAAATGTACTTGAAAGTACATATTGAGTCGCTGAAATGTGAAGCGAAAATGTCAAAAACTAAAATGAAACCACAGAAAACTATTTCCACCGCGGTGTAAATATTATCACCGCGGTGGAAATAGTTTTCTGCATTTTCATTTAAGTTTTTGACATTTTCGCTTTTGTTTTTGACATTTTCATTTGAGTTTTTGACATTTTCGTTTCACTTTTAAGCGATTCATTATCTTCTTTACACATGATTTATCACATATTTGTAAGACAAATTGTGTTAATTTGCAAAAGGTAACGATAAAAGTAAGTGAAATATCCAAATATGGAAAAACAGACTCCATGTCCCTTATGGGCCACCGTACATGTTTGTTTTTATTGCATGTTTAAGGCCAGAATGTGCATACATGAAATGTAATGGCTGATGAGTGCCTAGTTATTTGCAAAAACAATAATGTTACTGTAGAATTCTATGGGAAAATATTTGTTTATGTGTAACACGTGATCAGCGCCAGTCTGATCCATCCTAATTAGGTAGTACTGTACTGAAGCACACGAGGGTACCCTGATATGTTGCACGAGACCACCGACACAGATACAACCTTCTCTGGGTACAGTAAGTCAGTGCTATTTTTTGTTACCGTGTTGAATTTTACGGCTATATTCTATGCTATCGTGATGTCCTATGATTCAATGAGCTAAGGATTTAATGACAAATAGCATTTGCAACATTGTCTCCGTAATTAGGGATTTGCGGAAGTCTGACCCGTGGAGATCAGGGGTAGAATAGATATTCAGCAACCCATGCTTGCGACAAAAGGCAACTATGCTCGTCGTAAGAGGCGAACAACGGGATCGGGTAGTCAGGCTCGGTGACTTGGTTGATGCATGCCATCGTGTCAGAATTGCGTGGATCGATGCTCATGATGTCAATCACTGGATTGTCTGGTTCAGACTCGATTATTTACAGACCGCCGACATATAGATGGAATATTGCCGAGTGCGGCGTTAAACAACAAACAAACATTTGGCAGTCCAAGCTAGTTTGATTATAATCATTCAAACTCTGTTTGTCTGCTTTTTTGTTATTTTATGATAAATGCCATATTTGATTTATATCAATTTGACAGTTTGTGATAACGATAATGACACAGGACGATATATCTAATGTCCACACAGTGCACGTGTTTTACCGTCTACATCTGGGGAGCGGTGGGGTAGCCTATTGATCACGCCAAAGACCCGGGGTGCTATGTGTTAAGCCTATTTCCGGTGCCATCCTCCGTGATATTGCCGTCCGAAAGGGCTATGAATATTCCCTCGTGCTGTTATGTTTTATATGTAACGTGAACTCGTGGCATAATTATGAAATATAAGACGTCAACGCCAGAGAATAACCAGTCTCGATTATCTGCCGAAGCATACTCCACTGGGCGTAAAAGGCAAACCAGTGAGAAATTAGTGAGTGAGTGAGCGAGCGGGTGAGTGGATAACTGAGCGAGTAACTGAGTGAGTGAACGGGTAAGCGGGTGAGCAAGCGAGAGAGTGAGTGAGTGAGTGAGAGAGTGGGTGAGTGGGTGGGTGGGTAGGTGAGTGAGTGAGTGAGTAAGAGAGTGGGTGAGTGAGAGAGTGAGTGAGTGAGTGGGTGGGTGAGCAAGCGAGAGAGTGAGTGAGTGAGTGAGTGAGAGAGTGAGTGAGTGAGTGGGTGGGTGAGTGAGTGAGTGAACACCAGGAGTGGGCTTCACACGTTGCACCCAAGTAGAGTGCCGTGAAGAGCTAACTGCTGGGTTGCTCCAGGAGTGGCTGTAAGCCTCATAGTCTTCGATTTCATTTGAAAAACAAACTTCGGATACAATAACACTTTGAGAACACCCCCTACAAAAAATGTTCTCAGTCTCTTTTCTTTCGATAAACAATTCACGAAACATTATGAATTTAATGTCTAAACCATGTGGGCTTAATCCGCACTTACCAGTATGGGTTTGGTCGGTACTTACAAATAGGGGCTTAATCTGTTCTTACCTAAATGGGATTAACATGTTCTTGCCGATATGGGATTAACATGTACTTACCCATATGGGCTTAATCTGTACTTACCCGTATAGGTCTAAAATGTACTTACCCATATGTGCTTAATCTGTACTTACCCATATGGGTCTAATATGTACTTACCCATATGTGCTTAATCTGTACTTACCCATATGGGTCTAATATGTACTTACCCACATGGGCATAAACTGTACTTACCCATATGGGTCTAATATGTACTTACCCATATAGGCTTAATCTGTACTTACCCATCTGGGCTTAATTTGTACTTATCAATCTGGGCTTAATTTGTACTGACCCATCCGGGCTTAATCTGTACTTACCCATATAGGTCTAAAATGTACTTACCCATATGGGCTTAATCTGTACTTACCCATATGGGTCAAAAATGTACTTACCTATATGGGCTTAATCTGTACTTCCCATATGGGTCTAACATGTACTTACCCATATGGGCTTAATCTGTACTTACCCGTATAGGTCTAAAATGTACTTACCCATATGGGCTTAATCTGTACTTACCCATATGGGTCTAATATGTACTTACCCATATGTGCTTAATCTGTACTTACCCATATGGGTCTAATATGTACTTACCCACATGGGCATAAACTGTACTTACCCATATGGGTCTAATATGTACTTACCCATATAGGCTTAATCTGTACTTACCCATCTGGGCTTAATTTGTACTTATCAATCTGGGCTTAATTTGTACTGACCCATCCGGGCTTAATCTGTACTTACCCATATAGGTCTAAAATGTACTTACCCATATGGGCTTAATCTGTACTTACCCATATGGGTCAAAAATGTACTTACCTATATGGGCTTAATCTGTACTTCCCATATGGGTCTAATATGTACTTACCCACATGGGCATAATCTGTACTTACCCATATGGGTCTAATATGTACTTACCCATATAGGCTTAATCTGTACTTACCCATCTGGGCTTAAATTGTACTTACCAATCTGGGCTTAATCTGTACTTACCCATCTGGGCTTAATTTGTACTTACCAATCTGGGCTTAATTTGTACTGACCCATCCGGGCTTAATCTGTACTTACCCAGTGGGTTTAACCTGTACATACTCTTATGGGTCTAATATGTACTTACCCATATGAGTTTAACATGTACTTACCTATATGGGCTTAATCTGTACTTACCCATATGGGTCTAATATGTACTTACCCACATGGGCATAATCTGTACTTACCCATCTCGGCTTAATTTATACTTACCAATCTGGGCTTAATTTGTACTTACCCAGTGGGTTTAACCTGTATATACTCTTATGGGTCTAATATGTACTTACCAATATGGGTCTAATATGTACTTACCCATCTGAGCTTAATTTGTACTTACCATATAGGTCTGATATGTACTTACCCATATGGGCTTAGTCTGTATTTAGCCAAATAAGTCTAATCTGTACTTACCCATATGAGCTTAATCTGTACTTACCCATGTGGGTCTGATATGTACTAACCCATATGGGCTTAATCTGTACTTAGCCAAACAGGTCTAATATGTACTTACCCATATGGGTCTAATATGGACTTACCCACCTAGGCTTAATTTGTACTTACCAATCTGGGCTTAATCTGTACTTACCAAATGGGTTTAATCTCTACTTACCATATGGGTCTAATATGTACTTACCCATATGGGCTTAATATGCACATACCCATATGGGTCTAATAAGTACTTACCCATATGGGCTCAATCTGTACTTACCCATCTGGGTCTAATATGTACTTACCATACGGGCTAAGTCTGTACTTAGCCATATGGGTCTAATATGTACTTATCCATATGGGCTTAATCTGTACTTACCCATATGGGCTAAGTCTGTTCTTACCCATATGGGTCTAATATGTACTTACCATACGGGCTTAGCCTGTACTTACCCATCTGGGTCTAACATGTACTTACCATACAGGCTTAGTATGTACGTACCCATATGGGCTTTGTACTTACCAAGATGGGTCTAATATGGTCTTACCCATATGGGCTTAGTCTGTACTTACATATTTGGGCTTAATATGTACTTATCCATATGGGCTTAATCTGTACTTACCCAATGGACTTAATCTGTACTTACCATATGGGTCTAATATGTACTTACCCATATGGGCTTTATATGCACTTACCCATATGGGTCTAATAAGTACTTACCCATATGGGCTCAATCTGTACTTACCCATATGGGTCTAATATGTACTTATCCATATGGGCTTAATATGTACTTACGCATGTGGGTCTGATATGTACTGACCCATATGGGCTTAGTCTGTTCTAACATATACGGGCTTAATCTACAGTTACCTACAGTAATAAGATGGCTTTATCTGTGACCCAAAGGGGCTGAATTTGTACTTACCCATGTGGGCCTAAAATGTACTTACCCATATGGGCTTAATCTGTACGTACCCGTTTGGGGTATAATCTGTACTTACTCATATGGGTCTAATATGTACTTATACATATGGGTTTAATCTAAACTTACTCATATGGGTCTGATATGTACTTACCCATATGGGTTTAATCTGTACGTACCCGTTTGGGGTATAATCTGTACTTACTCATATGGGTCTAATATGTACTTACTCATATGTGTCTAATATGTACTTACACATATGGGTTTAATCTAAACTTACTCATATGGGTCTAATATGTACTTACCCATATGTGTCTAATATGTACTTACCCATATGTGTCTAATATGTACTTACACATATGGGTTTAATCTAAACTTACTCATATGGGTCTAATATGTACTTACCCATATGTGTCTAATATGTACTTACCCATATCGGCGTAATCTGTACTTACCCATATGTGTCTAATATGTACTTACCCATATGTGTCTAATATGTACTTATACATATGGGTTTAATCTAAACTTACTCATATGGGTCTAATCTGTACTTACCAATATGGGTCTGATATGTACTTACCAATATGGGCTTAATCTGTATTTGCCCATTCGGGGTTTAATCTGTACATACACATATAGGTCTAATATGTACTTACCCATATGGGTCTAATATGTACTTACACTTATGGGTCTAATCTAAACTTACTCATATGGGTCTAATATGTACTAACCCATATGGGCTTAATCTGTACTAGGGGGCACGGGTAGCCATGTCGTCTAAGAGTTGCGTCCCTTTGGCACGCCAGAAACCTATGATTGTGAGTTCGAATGCCGGTTCGCCCCGATTATGTTTCTTGGTTTGTCAGCACCATAGCCGTGCTCGTGGGTTTCATCGTTAGTGGTAAACGTCTGAGACCTGCATCACTTCGGGCTTTCCTCCCACATTAAGCTGACACGCCGCGATATAACTGGAAAACTGGTAAAAGCGGCGTTAAACCCAACTCACTGACTCACTGACTCACTTAATCTGTAATTACCAATATGGTTCTAATGTGTTCTATGAATTTAATGTCTAAACCATGTGGGCTTAATCCGCACTTACCAGTATGGGTTTGGTCGGTACTTACAAATAGGGGCTTATTCTGTACTTACCCATATGGGTCTAATATGTGCTTACCCATATGGTATTTATCTGTACTCACCCATATGGATCTAATATGTACTTATGTCCCATATGGACTTAATATGTACTTACATTTATGGACTTAATCTGTATTTACATATACTGGATTAATCAGTACTTTCCGATATGGATTTATTCTACAGTTACCTACATTGGTAAGATGGCTTAATCTGTGACCCATATCTTACACATTATTCTTGTTTCAGCACACTGGACCATCACAAGAGAAACACGTTGGCTTCAAGTAACGTCAACGAATCAGTCAATAAGAAATTCTTCCTTTTAGATAAAATTGTGGCTTCCGCGTTGACTGTGTTGACTGTGTTGCCAGCACTGATCACATTCTGACTGCTTTTATGACCATGTGTATATAACTGACTTCAGTGATTGTAAATACCTCAATGGCCAGCATCTTTATAAGAGTGAACAGAATGTTTCGTTTCAAATGTCGACCAAAACATTTATGTTTCGTATCCCTTTTCGGGTTATGTGTCATAGTTCTGTACAAAATGTTCGTGTTGCTGACCTCCCCTCCGCACCTCTACAAGGTTGCCATGGCAACGATGAAAGAGAATTACGTCATAAAGGAGGACGCTGATGACAATGCAGAATGCTCGAAACATATACAAAACATTAACTCCTACGTCGTAACATTTCATGATGTCATAATAGATCCCAAAAAATCTATTAAAATGCGATGGAGCCCTAATCAGCTTAAACTGGAGAAGGGTTTCTTTACGGTGCCGTGTGTCGGCGCTTCGCCATTGGTGCGGTCAACGTTCTATGGCGGGTTGTCTCCCTTCCCCTCATGGGTCACTGCCATAGATATTACGTCATATGCCAGAAACAAATTCGACGAAATCGATGCCGTTGAGGGATTTACTATTGTCATAAAACGAAAGCATACAAATAATGTATATCTTAAAATACTGGATATGTATAATACATACGTCACAGTGAGAATGATGAGACAAAAACCGAAAGATGTTTACATTCTTTTGATTGATGCTCATTCGGATGAATCAAGCGTTAATGAATGGAATGTGGTCTTCGGGGAAGCAACTCAAATCAAAGACATTCCGAAGAAGCTGAAATATGAAAACGTTGTATGGGGCATTCCAGATGGACTTGGGCCGATTGCGACATATGACCTCCCCCTTCCGTTTTTGGACGATTTTCGGCATCACGTGGTCACGAGCGGAGGGGCTGTTACAAGCGATGACATTGTTTGCCCGGGCTTGAGAATATCCATTTTAGCAGCAAGTTTAAAGACTGACAGCCAAACGGGTAAGGTCCTCCAACATTCTATATCCAACAGTGATGATATAACCGAACAATTGCACAGGGTGTTTTCGGATTGCGATCTCATGATCATCAATACAGAGTCAATGAGCATGCGCCAACAGATCCAAGCGTTTGCTAAGACGGACATTCTGATTGGTCCACATGGTCACGATCTCGCCAACACGGTGTTTTTACACCAGGGTGCTGGTTTGATCGAACTGTTCCCTACTAGGTATATGTTTATTTCAGACACACGATTTCGACAACTAGCAGTATGGAGTAAAGTGTATTATTCCAGTTGGTTTAATCTGGAAATGATGCTCCGAGACTCCGAGGTAATGACAGTGGACCCGAGTGTCGTGATTGATATAGTGAGGGAGATGAGGAGAATTCTTTGTTCAAAGTGAAATGTTTGAGTGAAGTTTTAAGTGAAAGTTACCTACTTTTATTGAGGCATTAAATATCTCTAAATTCCACACTTTGTTAAAACTGAATAGTGATACACTGATACAGTACGTGGACTTTACAGGCTAGAATTTATTGTATAAAAGATGTACATTTTTTTGAAAACCATGTACCACAATTGTATTGACATGACATGTATATATAAATGATGTACCTGCTGAGATGAATAAAAAAAATAAAAAAAATAAAAAAAATTTAAATATCTCTAAAATCGCGAGGGTAACGATCGTGTCAAGCGGCGAGATGGAGCTTGGACCGTTAACATCTAAGGGAGGTCACTCTAATTTACGAGCTGTAAGGTTGTGGGGTGAAATCGAATCGGGTTCAGCATCGCGTCAGAGATTATTGCACTTATATAGCGACGTGCATGCACGTGTATTTGTGGCTGCTTGTACTAGCTCACTGAGATACCATGCCACAGTTTAACAAAAATACCCAACTCAGACACAGTATACTGACACAGTGTGTGTGTGTGTGTGTGTGTGTGTGTGTGTGTGTGTGTGTGTGTGTGTCCCAAACTTCTGTGTCACGTTTGGATACCTTTACATATGACATTGATGTCATTTTAATACATTTTTAGAATACCAACTTAACGGGTTTTGATGAAAAATTGATGAAGATCGGAACACTGTAAATAGTTCTAAATGGACAAACGTACTGGTTCACCTCATATGGGGTTGTGAAGTAGAGGTAGCAATAGAAAGGGTACACCGTTGCCATGAAACAGTCGATCACAGACGGTAGGTGATCGATTTGGCTTTTGTATTACAATGTGTAGTTCACATTGATAAAAAACATATGAATTTCGTCAGAAAATTAATGCAGGACACGAATAAAAAATAAAATATTTTATATGAAAATATGTAGTAAATGGATTTTTCTTGGTGTATCTTTCAAACATTGCTTATCTATTTGTTTCTTGTTTTATGCCGCACTCTGCAAATGTTCCAGCTTCATGACGGCGGTCTGTGAATAATCGAGTGTGCATCGATCGACGCAATTGGTAAACGATGACATGCATTAACCAAGTCAGCCTACTCGGCCAACTACAATGATTAACGTGATGTTTTCGGTGACCATTATTATTTCATGTTTGTTCAAAATATAAATAAGTCTAAATAAAAATTATAATGAAACGTATTTTAGATTTCTTCTTTTTGCGCACTTGTATTTATAATGAACATAATTACCATATTGCTGCTACTCATGGGTTTGTGCAATGACTTCACATCATCATGTGATTCAACACATTCAGTTGTTGACCGCCTCCGTGGTCTAGTGGTAGAGCGTCCGCCCGGAGAGCGGAAGGCCCGGGGTTCGATCCCCGGCCGCGTAATACCAAAAGACGTTAAAAGATGGTACTTGTTTTTACCCTGTGTGGCGCTCGGCATTAAGGGCTAAAACAAGGACTGGTCGGCCTGGAGTCAGTATACTGTGTCTGAGTGGGGTATTCATGTTAAACTGCGGCATGGTATCTCAGTGGGCTAGCACTATAAAATCGGCATTAGTCCGGACAAGTACAAGCAGCCTCACAAACACGTGCAAGTGCAATACTCTTGGACGCGACGTTAAACCTCAGTACACCTCAACACTTAGTAACGAGCCATAAATACTTGATGAAAATTGTTTTACAGTTGCGTTTGAGTTCAACGTTTCAGTATGAACTGGCGTTAGAAAAACAAGCTGTCGTGAATACTGCCCCTTACCCCGAAAGCCACGTTTTCGCATCCTCTAAAAATGCAATAAAATACAGATGTAATCAAAATGTTATTTTGTGTAGTTTTACACCTATTTTAGCAATATTTATATCGTTTCATATTCGGACATCAAGGTACACCATGTTGGGAATCGAACCCGGCCCGAGGTGATGCTGATAAACCGAGGAACGTCATTAGGGTGAATCTGGGATTCGATGCCACGAGCACAGGTTTCTGGTACACCTAAGGGACGTAACTCTGCACGGCGGCTTGTGTCGACTGGGTCACCAGTGTCCCCTTCGCGCTTTAGAATGCATTAAAGTAACGAAATTGTTTTAAAAGTATATTTATTGCTCCATGCTGCTCTTCACTTCTTTCTTTATCTTCTGCAGTATAAACACCGGAGATAGGGCGCGTCCCCGCCCAGGACAAGGATCATGAAAGTGGTCCTAGCTCAAATTTTGCTAAGCACGAATTTTGTCTTAAGTTTTGAAGATTTTGCTCAGCTAGGATTCTAAGTCTAAGGCACGTTATACCGTACTACGGTAATGGCTGGAACTCTTTAGTGAAGGGAGATGCGAAATTCGGGTTGTTTGTAAACACAGTTGTCGCGTGTCGCGTTTGGTCTGTCGTCTTTCTTGCTACACATCTTCTCTTAGGTCTACTCAGGGGCTGTCTTAGGACTTACGATCAAATTTTATCTTAGACTTAAGATATTCTTATAGATTAAGCTTCATGTTCCACGATTTAAATTTAAATTTGGTATCATGATCCCGGAGCAGGGTCCAAGCCCCGAAAATGCTCCAGGACGGGGTGGCTCCATATTCCCACAGTGCATACTACTTCCTCTTCACGAATACGTTAGGCAAAGCGTTGAATTTTGAAAGAAATGTGTCCTGGTGATGACGAAACAATTTTGCCAGGATTAACGTCATTGCTGACTGGTCGTAACGGTGACATTTGTTGTACTTTCGGATTTTAAGGTTGCAGTATAGACCTTTTCGACTTGGAACCGAGCACATGCAGTTGGGGTGCATTGCACACATCGCCCAGGATTTAACTATTATTTCTTGAATGAATTTCTCGTTGTGAAAACACAAAAATCCACCAGTAGTTTCTGGGACGTCGGCATATTCACATGGTTCTGCTTTAAAATGGTTGAACGTTTTTTTAGACGTTAGTTGAGCCGTGCTCAAAATGTTTCGATAGGTCAGCATCCCTTTCTGTTGTATGTCCATCAACATGGGCTTGATTGCCGATTGGTTAGTGAACCGTATGGAGCTGTCCACCCAGATTAATATGTCCGTTGACGGCAGGTTAGCCTGAAATCCAACATGTGAAGAGGTAGTGAATTGGGTGTAAAAGCCACTTTGAAAATCGTTATCCAGTTATATGAGTGAGTGAGTGAGTGAGTTGGGTTTAACGCCGCTTTTAACAGTATTCGCGGCGTGTCAGCTTAATGTCGGAGGAAAGCCCGAAGTGATGCAGGTCTTAGACGTTTACCAGTTCGGTGAAACCCACGGGCACGGGTATGGTGCTGACAAACCTAGAAACATAATCGGGGCGAACCGGGATTCGAACCCACAATCATAGGTTTCTGGCGTGCCCAATGGACGCAACTCTGCACAGCGAATCGCGGCGCTTTAAACGACTGGGCCACCCGTGCCCCCTCCAGTTATATGAAGCCGTGGGAGGAACTAATAAAGTTCTTAGACGTTTATCTTTTTTGGGAGTGAGTGAGGTCGACTTTACCACAATGGAAAATTACAATATATCCCAAATATACAATTTTGTATATTTGACATATCCAAAAATATACAATTTTGTATATTTGACATATTCGAAAATATACAATTTAGTATATTTGACATATCCAAAAATATACAGTTTTGTATATTTGGTATTTCCAAAAATATACAATTTTGTACATTTGGTATTTCCAAAAATATACAATTTTGTATATTTGGTATATCCGAACGATATCCAAGGTTTGTGTATTTAGATAGATTTTACCACTGCTGCATTCAGTTTCTTTTTACTTTAGTAAGGAATACTTTTGTTTCATACAGAATGTGGTTGATACTGATAACAATCACTAATCATTATGTACCGGACAGTATTCTCGTGACAATAATATTTTGTACTATTTTCATGATGACAACTATGTTTAGAGGGTTATTAAATAATTTGTTTTAAATTATGTTGATAGCATTTTACATGATGAAGAAACAGAACATTTGAACAGACTTTTGTAACAGAAAGATCAATTATAATATATATATAATGTGTACACCAGCTGTTTTTACAAATAAGAAGACGTATACATACAATTTGTTCAGAGTAGTTTTGTCCAATGATGATAAAATAAATATAATAACATGAATACCGACTTTTGTATATGAATATATACAATCTATGAAAATATTAATTTTTTTAATTACGCAATACATAATGTACATTCAAACCGAGGCACATTTCATTTGAACCATCACCTATCTGTCCCTTGGCAACACAAACATTACATCTTTCTATTCACATTTTCCGAGTATCTTTATAAATTTACACTTAATACGTTGATGGCATGAATGATACGGGACCAGTCACTATACATTGTCGGATGCGAGGCTTAACTGCTTTTGCATTTTTTAGTGGTACTTCAATTGATAGCAAATGACCCCATCCACAACAACAATGCGCGGCTACGAAGAAAGAAACAATAAAAAAACCTTTCTTATTTTCTACCTTTTTGTATATTTTTATTGTCTTTTCTGTTACTTAATGTATCATTTATCAATTTATCTAACTCCCAATATTACACATGCAAAATGATATCAACATTTTGAATAACATTTGACTGTTTTAAGAACCCATGTGAATTATTCTTTATGTGTTGTTTAATGTTACTTCAAAATTATTCTTTCTTATATATACCTTTTCACTATCAACTTGTATCGTAAGTAACCCTGGGCTTACCTCCCAAACATCTTCATCAGTAAGGAAAAACAAGAGGAAGAATAATAGCCTTTTCAGAGTTATGTCACGATGATTGCAAAAAACACAAAAAAAAAACCCATTAATTTATAATTATACAAGGAAACATATATGGGAAAATTGTTTAATAGTTCGACAAACAGTTGTATACACTGTAGAATTGTGATACCTCTACCTAAGTATATAAAAAGGATGTTCGTTTTGTTCATTGGCATGTGTTAATTGTAAACAAGGATTAGTGTGACAGGATTAGTAAGCTTGTCATCTAAAATAAAGCACTTCTTCGATTTGCATAATTAGAACAGAGTTAACGAAGACAGCTAACATCAGTGTAGAGTTTGAGCAACTAAAGATGAGGCGAACAACTCAATGTGACTGTATGAACTTGTGGAATTTGAATAAATAAACGAACGCCCGTCACAAATATGCAGTCAAACATTGAACACACAGATTCGTAGATTTTTCAGTCGTACATTTGAGGGTGAACGTGAACGAAGTCGTTCAGGATGCCTTATAGCGATAAGTCTTCAGAACACACAGTGAGCTCAGATTAGTTTATTGATGATGATACTTGCATATTTCATTAAATGAATGTTAAATAAATTCATTGAATTTCACATTATGACAACATCAAATCATATATGTTTTTAATGCAACAGGTTTAAAGCATTCAAAATTGTACAATCATGAATATTAAATACAGCATGATTATACATGTGTGTCGCTACTTGTTCATGTGAGGAGGACCCCCCTCATGCCAAATAGAATGTCACCAAAATTATGGGTCCCAGCATCTCGAGCCAACAAACTATTGTATCTATTATTCACCTATTATTTCTGTTTATTTATAAGTTAACTGTGTTTGCGAGGGGGTCCAGACAATTCCCAAAATGGACAATTCCAAATACTACTGCGTATACTATTAATACCGATTTAGAGAAAATTACCAAATTGTTGAATGCAAGTAAAATTTAATCCAGAGAAAACAAAAACTATCAATTTCACGTTGAAGTCGGCCCAAAAGCAAAACCTAATGTTAAAATGAAAGGAATTGATATTTATGAATTTGGAGATAATATTTCCGTCAGATTGTTTATGTCATTCTAATATTGACGATATAATTAACAAGGTACGCCCTGTGATTAATTGCCTTAGAAGTCTTAAATAACTTTCTGGCGTCCGCAGCCGTGAAACATACTCACTCAGTTAATACCTCCTTTCACGGAACTCGTTAGAAGTTATGTACAAGTGTTCATATTGCCCATATTTGATTATTTCTCCTGTATTTGGAATAATTGTACAAAGAACAAGAATCCTAGAAGTTTTCACTAAGTCTTAGATTCATTAGGGACTATGTGTGGGACTACAAAGGGAACAAGCCATGAGAAACATTATAGAGAAACTAACTCAGTCAAAGGAAGATTATTAAACCCTATTTTACAAGATGGTAAATCGGTTAACACCTAAATTTATTTTTCTGGCCTTGTTCCACAAGACGCCTCTGCTGTTAGTGATTACCCGGTACATTTTAAGAAATCCGATCAATGTATAGTGGAAGAACAGAATGCTATGCCATGTCGATCCTACCGGATACCATTAAAAATTGGAATAGTTACCTGATATAGATACCTGATTTGGAACTCAAAGAATGATAAAACTTGGACTATACTACAAATTTACAGTTCCCCAAATCATGGTACCAGATTCTGTCACATAATCCTTTATCACCCCAGACTCGGTTGAAAGACACATCTAAGACGACGCATCCTTTTTTTGTGGCTATCCCAATGAACACATCCTGCATTATTTTTTCACATGCCCAAACTGCACTATTTTTAGAAACGATTTATCTTTCTATTTTAAAGGTTAGGGTTTAAATTCAGTGCTTTATGGGAATGGAAATGAAACATAATCTGTCAGTTTAGCTATTTTGAATTCACTCCACGTGTACATTCTATGTAAGACTTAATATGCACTTTTACACTACCGGTTATAACCTGGATACTATTATGAACGGAAACAATGAACTTGCTCACTCTGAAAACCAGAAATTAGTAGAATCCGTCCACGATTTCATCATCAAGACAAAACGTTTCAGCTCTACACAAATTAATAATAAAATTAACCGGACAATAACCTAATGATTGACTATTACTTTTGTTACAAACGACTTGTTAGACACACACGAGCTGTAACTTTCTATTTATGTTCACTTTGTATTTGATGTAATACGTACAAACATATTATTTAAATAATGTCTATATCGATGACGTCACATCCTTCATTTCAACATGTAATATATGTTGTATGGGGGCGGTGTTAACATAAGCTGTAAAGCTTGTTCACCAATCCCAACTCATTTCAATGAAAAAAAATATGTTTAAACCACATTCTATGTTCTGGTAGATTTGCACTTATGTAATAACTTAAGAATTAATTCATACTATAAGAAATGTATTAAGTATTAAATAGTTATATATGTATTATGTATGTATATATATTAACCAAGACATATCAATATTACAAAATATAATTTTGTTTCTGGAGCGGTATTTACCAATCCAGATTCATTTACTGAACAATATGTTTAAATCATGAACAATTCCCCGCTCACAGTAAAACATTTTCCCACACCGCACTTTTTGTTCTGCTTTTGTAAGAATTAATAAAAGGAAGTGTGGCTGGGGACTTTTGGGATATTAAAAATGAATATAGACTCCCATGTTGTCTGACTGTAGAACTTAGCAATCACCGGTTGTGACCATGTTGACAGGATGTCATTCGGGTTTCTGATATTGGACAACTTTTAATATTTATTCAATGCAGATCAGAATGAACATGCCTTAATTCGGATGTTTCAAAGTGGATATAGGTGATAACGTTTTACGGAGTTTACACATAAATATGAGGTAACAATTCTTTTGGGATGTAAAGACGTCGTTGTTGGAGAAGTGCTTCACATCTAAAAGATAGTGATACTCAATCTACACGCACATGCTCACAATGTATCTGTTATTCTGAATACCATAGATCACACACAACTTACAGAAAGGTCCAAGGAAGCCAGTAGTAGTATAGGGAATGGGGGTTCTAGCTCACTGCCATCTTGACCAGATTCATACCCAAACAATGCTACTACAGAGGTAATTTTTTATGCAAATTATGCAATGCGATCTAATGATCGTCATGCGACTAAGCTAATTTGTAATGAAAAGGGGCCCTCCGAAATGCCACCTAGACCAGATTCATACCCAAACAATGCTTCTACATAGGAAATGTTTTATGCAAATTATGTGATGCTATCCAAGGATCGTCATGGATTGTATTAAAC